ATACTAAGTACGCCAAACCACCCAGACGTGTGCATCATACCACGCCCCTCGAGATAACCCTCAAAAATTGCGAATCGAAGGGAAAACGCTCAAGTTCGTGCATACTTTTTCTCATTAACAGTTGTTGCGACTTCACCTCTCAGCCGAGGTGACCAAATCACTCAGTGGGCAGCTTTAAGAAAAGACTTGATAAACAAGTACTCACATATGGATTATTATCTCCCTCGTGGATCAGCTGTGCCTGATGCATGTATTGGGACTTGTTGTTATCAATGTCATCTCCATAGATCAATAAATTAATCTATCTCGCTTGTTATCTCTAACTACTCTCTCCCTTGCTCACAGTTCGGTCCTCTCGCACAATATACACTAACTAAATTATCCATTTATTTTCTCATTTCTGAAACATTCTTATTTGGGATTAAAATTTCCTCCTCATAATTCTCCATACTGCAACTGACGCGATAGCTACTGGTGTCCGGAAACCCAACCACCCTGAAACGAACGTATTCAAATCACGGGTCATATCAACCTACAAACAACTGCCAACTGACTGGAATTAGTGCATTCGAGTAACTAGACCCCCATCCATTGGACTCTACAACACACCTGGAACCTAATTGAAAGACCCATAATCCAGAGAGAAGAAATCAATCGGTTTTTACTAGCTCGCTAAAAAGATATTGGAATCACCGTTTTCAAATTATTCGACGATTGATTTACATTCGATGTGCCTTAAGTCTTCTCGTCCCTCAAGAAAGAGGATCTGTGATGACTCTGGAAAAAGTTCACAAGCCCAGAACAAATTACTTGCCACGTGACTGCCGACTTACCGTCAAATCATCAGTCAGTGGAACTCATTACCATAACAGATGGTCGACGCATTGAAAAAAAGCTTGAGAAAATAAGATACCAAAACTGCGGGAATTAACAAAGGGCAACCTGTTCTTCCCAAAAATGAAAGTGAAAAAATAGTAATCTATTGCCGGACTTATTGGACATGCAACTAAAGGTCGTTTGCTCGTTTTCACCATTTGCGTTGTAAGGCATTTAGAACTATCCTCTTCTTGTTCCGCCTATCAGTTTGTCTTTGTCTTATGGTTGTATTATTTCTGATTGTTATCGAATACTTTCTCTCATAAACGTAAGTGCATTCTATGCGCCCACTGAATCGTCGGATCACACGTTGCTCCTTACACTCTACCAGCACAAAGTACCTTCTGGTTAAACGCAGACTTACCAAAGGCTGGAGTTACAGCGTTATCGAAACCAGCTGTCATTTTCCTTTGCTTTGTGATTTAATTACTTATCTTAAGAGAATTGTGATATGCCTTCCAGTGTTATCCTAAATTATTACGAGTCTCTTGTGCACAGAGATGATTTAGATACCTTGAACGAAGGTTGTTTCGTCAATGACAACATAATTACATTCTATCTGGAATATTTACGTCATACAAAACTGTGTCACGCGTCAAATATCCTACTTATGGATCCAGCCGCATCTCAACTTTTAAAATTAGCGGATGAAGAATCAGTAAAATTGGTATTGGATCCTTTAGAACTGAAGTCAAAGGATTGGATATTCCTAGTGGTCAATGATTCTGCTTCACGAGTTTCATCTGGTGGATGCCATTGGTCACTATGCATCTATTCACCACTTCTAATGCACGGCTTTTACTTTGACTCCTTGGACTATAGTCCCAACTTTTCAGGGGCGAGAATTCTGTGTAACAAACTATCCACATTTTTAGGTAATTCTGTCGTAGATATTGAGCTGCCTAATGTCATGAAGCAGAATAACGGATATGATTGTGGAATATTTTGCATAGTATTCATAGAAATAATATGTGATATGATTCTGAAAGGTGATATGTCTTGGCAGACAGGTCTGTCGAACGACATGGTTTCCCATCAAGTAATTCACAAAAGGAAATCACTATTAGAATGTATCAATAGATTATCAAGAGCAGATGCGTAGGCTGATCATCAAGATTCCTAGAAGGGTGTTGCTCAGTAAACAGGCAGACCTGAGGTCTGTTTGATATTTTGCTACTCACAGATTATTTATGTGCTATATTTTACCCCAATATACTATGTAAACAATATGTCTTCTATTCACAAGTCTATTTGTTCGCATAGATGGGCTTGTCACGTAGACGGAAGTTGGGATAGATTAAGATTCACTGTTTGTATTCTTTTTGCATTCTACGTCTCTGGTGAGGGTCACCTAGTCATTTTAATAATTGCAAGGATCTTGAGACGAAGTCGTCAATCGATTGTTACTTAGGTTCTCCGTGTATCTGAACTTGCGTAGCAAAATATCTTGGTGCCTTAAAATTCATCACTTAGATTATTCACGACCGCGGTCTAAATTTGCGTAGATACTTTGGTGAGTATTATTACCGCTTTCTATTTTTATTCATGAAAATCAGCTAAGCATAATCAGGAGGAACAAATGTAGACTGTTCTAGTTCCTTAATATCAGGAATACGTTAATCCAGGCATATCTGAAATGAATATCTAGTTCGGCCATAAATCTTAGACATTTTAAATTTGAATACATCAGATTTCAAAGGGATTTTATGTAGTAGTAAGTTCCGACGAATGACAAACCGAAAGTTAAATGGTTTTCTTAGTAGTTATAAATTATGTGGTTAGTGAAAAAACTTTTCACTGATTTTCAAGCTAAAAAGCTTCAACCTTTTATATTACCGCTAATACTTCTACTATTTATTTGTGCTAGAGTGGTATGTATGTACGTACCGTTTTACATTGCAGCTGACTGACGAAAATTATATGTAGCTTCTAGTTGAAATCTACAAGTATTTAGTACTAACCCTTTTACTATGACGATTTTGCTGGGATTAAAGAGTGCTGAGCGTTCCTTAAATCATTTGTTAGTTGGGAACACCATTTTCAAGTTGGTTTTTTGTTTTCTTCAAGGAAACGAAGAATAAGCTGAAACTTTAAACACAAATTAACGTTAACCAGATGGTGTCAATATATTTCATTTACAGAGGCAACTCCGTGTAACGTAATCATGTCATACTTGACACGAATATGCTTTTATGGCTATTGTCTTTCTGCAACGTTTTCTACTGGATGGGGTTGCTAACCCTCATCCTTTATCCGGATTTGGGACTGGTAGTAACTGTGGAAGGGCTCCAGACAGACATAGCAGATGGAAATAACTAGGTAAAAAGGGAAAATATATTTATACATGGTAATGCTAAAACTAGAGATAATCCAACAAAAATTAATGAGACTGATTAGTCATCCAATTAGCTAGAACTTAGAGCCTGGTACGTGCGTACATCACTTCAAGTTGCCATACTATAGCAGCCACAGATGAAATTTTTGATTCAAATCCCATAGTGGTCAAGGTTGTGGAAGTGTTAGCGATAGTGGGGAAGATAAGGGTTTGAACATATCATTCAAAAAGTATGTCCTAGTTCAGTAAATTTTGAAAGAGAAAAAAGGTTATGAGAAATTTAGAAGATCAGAATTTGAGCGAAAACAAAGAATAGACGCAGCTGCGCCGTTGCAAACAATTTTAATCCATATCATTCAGTCTAACTATCAGTTACTACTGTTTCGCGGACCCCAACCGGGTATACTAATATTAAAGATTAAAAAGTTGATACGTTAATAGTTTGAAGAGTAAATATTATCTACGTTGCTGCCTGTTGATTGTAAGCGGTATCATCTAGCCTCTGTGATAATGGCTGCCTAGTATCTTGTTTGTCTTAGTAATAGTTACCTTTAGCTACTGAGAAGTATGTTTTCATGTTGATGAGTGTCAGGTGTACATAGTGTTATTTGTTACCAATACTGGTACTATACTTACTTACTTACTTACGCCTGTTACCCCCAATGGAGCATAGGCCGCCCACCAGTTTTCTCCAACCAACTCTGTCCTGGGCTTCCCTTTCCAGTTCTTTCCAGTTTTTGTTCATTCTTCTCATGTCTTTCTCTATTTCTCGGCGTCATATGTTCCTTAGCCTTCCATTTTTCCTCTGACCGTGAGGGTTCCATGTGAGGGCTTGCCTTGTGATGCAGTTAGGTGCTTTCCGTAGTGTATGTCCTATCCACTTCCAGGGCGCTTCTTTCTGATTTCCTCCTGCATTGCAATCTGATTTGTTCTCTCCCACGGTACTTTGTTGCTGATCGTGTCTGGCCAACGAATCTACAGTATTTTGCGTAGACAACTGTTAAGAAACACTTGTATCTTCTGGATGATGGCTTTGGTAGTTCCCCAAGTTTGCGCTCCATACAGTAGAACTGTCTTAACATTTGTATTGAAAATCGTGATTTTGGTTTTGGTTGAAATCTGTTTGGAGTTCCAGATATTTTTCAACTGTAGAAATGCTGGTACTATACAGATATTTAACTCGTAAACAAAAGTTTTTGTATGGTTTTTGTACTTTTCAAGTATACTATTTAATCTTGCTCATTTCTTTAACGTAAAAATATATAAAAAAATTCATTGATCTCTTGTTTTCTCTCAGCTTACATGAGTATTCCCATCAAAATTAAACAAAGCTACATAAATAAACCATTTAATCTGTAAGACAAACAGTCATTAAAGTTTTACTATGTTGTCAAATATCTTCCCGAATCCACAATTGCTTTAACATTCTATTAAAAAGTACTACAACTAAAATTGCTAAGTCATTCTGTGATGTTCTACAATGTTATTATCTACCTATCTTTGTACAAGTCATAAATAGTTGTCTATTCAATGAATGCTTAATTGTCTGTTGCAATTCTTCTTTTCATTATAGATGTCTAATTCCATAAAAACTATTCATCCATTTGTTTATTGGGGTCAATCAGAAGAATATGTATTTCTTTCAATTAAAGTAGCCAATGCAAATGTATGTGTTCATTGTAAATTTTCAACCTTTAGATACTAAGATTAATTCTATTGTTATTAATCAAGAAGAGTTTATATTTTCCGCTATGGGTAATGGAGCTGATGGTGTTAAAAAATATGAATTTTCTATTGCATATTATCTTCCTATAATTCCTGAAGTAAGTTTTGTTTAAAATGTTTTCGTTTGAGTTTCATTTCTTGCCTTTTTTTATACACTTATTTACCACTATCCTAATTTTCAAATCGTCACATCATTACTAGGATCCGTTTGCTGACTAAAGGACGAGTGTACTGCGCAGTGGTTCGCTCCGTCTTACTTTATGGCTGTGTAAACATGGCCAATGAGAGTAGAAGATATTCGTAGGTTACTGGTTTTCGATCATAGGTGTCTTCGAAGCATTGCTCGTATATCGTGGGACAACCGAGCGAACAACGCTGTTATTAGGAATCGGGTGCTAGGTAAGAATGGCAGATCAATAGATGAAGTAATGAAACTTCATCAGTTGAGGTGGTTGGGACACGTGTTGCGTATGCCTAACCACCGACTGCCTCGTCGAGCTTTGTTTTGTAGTGTAGGAGTAGATTGGAAGAAAGTTAGGGGCGGCCGAGCCAAAACATGGCAGAAATGCATGAAGTCATTGACGAGTGGACTTAGCCATGTCGGTAATTGTCGACTACCTGGTTGAGGTCCGTGAGATGATAATAATCGATGGTTAGAGACCTTGAACGACATGGCTGAAAATCGTTCGCGATGGCGCCGGTGCACTTATTCTTTGTGTTCTCTCAAATCCTAATCTGGATTCTTCAACTTTGTAAACTTTTCTCACTGAATCATACTTCTTGAATAATATTTTCTAATCCTAACCTCTCCGATTACTTCTAATACCTTTACTACCTCTTCTACTATTGGATTTGAATTGACAATTACATCTCTGTGCTGATTGTGGTATGGCGACATGAACTGATGTACTTACGTACGTAGTTCTTCGTTGCATCTGACTGACTGACTACTTACCTTATTCTAACTTCATCATCATACTCAAAGGGACATTTGCTTTTATGATTATAATGTTTCTTTTCCTATGATAAAATGTTTTACAACCTCTAATCACTCACATTAAGAAAGAAAAATTGGTAGAGTTATCATAAATTAAGTCTTTGACAGATATACATCTTAACGTCAGAAAAGACAAATTGCGATTAAGGATACAAGTGAAAAGAAACCAAACTATTTCGGAAGAAGCAAATTGCACTTATGTCATACGCAATATGTTGTTCCCTTTTTTACGCTAATTACCGCAGAGCTCATATTTTGTGCTGCTTTTTAAGTAATCTCAACCGAAAACCTATAGTACCTCATGAATATACGTGAGATTTTCCCAACCGCCAATAGTTTATTTATCTAACAAGCTTAATCCAATATCTCTAATTGAAGAAAATAACTGTGAGTGTATTTGAATATCATTAACCCTGAACACCATGCAAATTATGGTTGGCAATCCATTAACTAACAAGTTTAAAAGTAGTGAATTTATCTACACCAATATTTAAATATGATTATGGTGTTAAACGCTTATTATTAAACTGTAATGTGTAAAATTCGAATATGATGATTACTCACTAACAGTCATATGAGAATGACAGCTTCTTTGCTATCACTAATACTACTTGTATGAATTCTATGCCTCATACTTTTTTGTATCTGTCGTATTTAGATTATCAATGAGTATCATATTTTGCAGTGTATATAAACTCAGTGTAATGTGAGTATTTTTATCATTGAAATAGTACGCTGTGTATTCGATTGCTGGTTAGCGTTTTTTTGGCAAGTGTAGCAGCAGCCTATGAAGCAGCAGCAGGTCTCAACATACATTAAGGGAAAAACAAGATTCTACGATACAACACAACATGCACCAACCAAGTCACTCTTGATGGAGATGCCTTGGAGGACGTCAACACCTTTACATATCTTGGCAGCATCATCGACGAGAAATGTGGATCCGATGCAGATGTGAGGACGCGGATTGGCAAAGCAAGGGCTGCGTTTCTACAGTTGAAAAATATCTGGAACTCCAAATAAATATCAATCAACACCAAAATCAGCATTTTCAGTACAAATGTCAAGGCAGTCCTACTGTATGGAGCGGAAACATGGAAAACTACCAAAGCCATGATCCAGAAGATACAAGTGTTTCTTAACAGTTGTCTACGCAAAATACTGTAGATTCGTTGGCCAGACACGATCAGCAACAACGAACTGTGGGAGAGAACAAACCAGATTCCAGTGGAGGAGGAAATCAGGAAGAAGCGGTGGAAGCGGATAGGACACACACTACGAAAAGCACCTAACTGCGTCACGAGACAAGCCCTCACATGGAACCCTCAAGGTCAGAGGAAAAATGGAAGGCCAAGGAACATGTGACGCTGAGAAATATAGAAAGACATGAGAAGAATGAACAAACATTGGACAGAACCGGGGAGGGAAGCCCAGGACAGAGTTGGTTGGAGAAAACTGGTGTGCGGCGTATGCTCCATTGGCGGGAGGGGTAACAGGCGCAAGTAAGTAGTAAGTAGTATTCGATTGCTTGTTTACAAAAGTTTATCCCACTAATATTATTACTTGTATTTTAACTTTTCCTAGCAAAGTCAATATATCGTTACAAGTTTATCTGTAAATGTTAAATTACGCAAAGAACTTAAAGATTCATGGCCAAGGTTAACAATGGGAAGCCAGCGTTTACCTTGGGTTCGTCCTGATTTCGATCGTTATCAGTTTAATGATTCTGACTTAGAAAATAATGAAGAAGAATATCTCAAAGTTGATGTTGTACATCCATCAAAAGAGGAAAGAGTAAGTACACTTTACAAAACATATTTTAAACTCATCATGTGCTTTGATCTCTCTGTTCATAGTTTATGTTACCAATTCTATTAGGTTAATCACATTGTTTTTGGCTGTGACTCTCTTCATAGTATATAAAATCGAAAGATTCTCCGTCTTATGAGAATAATATCGACACTATTACACAAGGATGTTTTTTTTTTAAATAAATATATGTTCTTATCTATCTACCTTAGAAGATATTCGTAGGTTACTGGTTTTCGATCATAGGTGTCTTCGAAGCATTGCTCGTATATCATGGGACACCCGAGTGAGCAACGCTGTTATTAGGAATCGGGTGCTAGGTAAGAATGGCAGATCAATAGATGAAGTAATGAAACTTCATCAGTTGAGGTGGTTGGGACATGTGTTACGTATGCCTAACCACCGACTGCCTCGACGAGCTTTGTTTTGTAGTGTAGGAGTAGGTTGGAAGAAAGTTAGGGACGGCCGAACCAAAACATGGCAGAAATGCATGAAGTCATTGACGAATGGACTTAGCCATGTCGGTAATTGTCGACTACCTGGTTGAGGTCCGCGAGATGATAATAATCGATGGTTAGAGACCTTGAATGAGATGGCTCAAAATAGTTCGCAATGGCGCAGGTGCATTTATTCTTTGTGTTCTCTCAAATCCTAATCTTCTGGATTCTTCAACAACACTAGTTTTGACTTTCCAAAACTTATCTCACTGAATCATACTTCTTGAGTAATATGTTTTAATCGTAACCTGTCCTATTACTTCTAATACCTTTACTACCTCTTCTACTATTAGATTTGAATTGAGAATTACATCTCTTTGCTGATGTGGTATGGCGACATGAACTGATGTACTTACGTACGAAGTTCTACGTTGCAACTGACTGACTGATCTATCTACTTATTTGTAAGAATCTCTTGGCATGATAGATGAATGAAAACTCTAAATTAAAGACCTTCTTTACGAGTAAGTTTCTTTCACTCAGAAGTCTTGTCATTATATAATAGATTTATCAGATGAAAAAAATCCGAATCAAGTATAATAATATAACTAATTTCAGTGAGCCAACAGCAATGTAGAATTTCGTACGTTCGTACATCAGTTCAAGTTGCCATACCACAATAGTACAGAGATGCAATTGTCGATTCAAATTCCACAGTGGTAAAGGTTGTAAAAGTAATAGCGGTAATAGGGAAGATTAGCGTTTGAAAATGTTATTCAAGGAGTTATAATCCAGTGAAATAAATTTGAGGAGAGAAAAATGAAGTTCATGATGAGTTCAGTTTTGAATTTGCGAGAACACTAATAGTGGATGCACCTGCATCATTGCAAACGATTTCGAGTCATGTCATTCAAAGGCTCTAACCATTGGTTCCTACTGTCTCACTACTGTCTCAACCAAGTAGTCTACACCTAACAACATGGCCCAGTGAATGATTTCATGCATTTGTGCCATGTTTTGGTTTGGCCGCTCCCGAGCTTTCTTCCAGCCTACTCCTACACCACAAATTAGTTATATAACTAACTGAACAAATGATTCTATATTTAACTGATCCATTCGAATTTTAATTCGATGAAATGTAGATTAATTTAAATGTCATAATTGAAATACTCAAATATTTTGTAACTCATTCTATGAGCTGTGAATTAACAACAATATTTTTGTTTATATTCCTTTGAATAACACTGAAAACTTCAAAGTTAAACTCATAAAGCTCAGATATGTGTGTTTATAAGTCAGTCAGTCAGTCAGTCAGTTGCAACGTAGAACTTCGTACGTAAGTACATCAGTTCATGTCGCCATACCACATCAGCACAGAGATGTAATTGTCAATTCAAATCCAATAGTAGAAGTGTTAGTAAGGGTATTAAAAATAATCAGAGAGGTTAGGATGAGAAGATATTATTCAAGAAGTATGATTAAATGAGAAAAGTTTAGAAAGTCAAAACTAGAGGTGTTGGACAATCCAGAAGATTAGGATTTGAGAGAACACAAAGAATAAATGCACCTGCGCCATTGCGAACGATTTTGAGCCATGTCATTCAAGGTCTCTAACCATCGATTATTATCATCTCACGGACCCGAACCAGGTAGTCGACAATTACCGACATGGCTAAGTCCACTCGTCAATGACTTCATGGATTTCTGCCACGTTTTGGTTTGGCCGCCCCTAGCTTTCTTCCAACCTATTCCTACACTACAAAACAAGGCTCGACGAGGCACTTGTGTGTTTATAAAGGTTTATTCCACGCAGAACAGATGATGCGCACGTTTCATGTAACTGAATCGCTTTTAAATATGATCAAGTTTTACCACTAACATTTTTGTTACTTTATCATTTAATTTTCATCTTCTGTTTGAAATTTTTTAGGATAAACATAATGCAGAACAAATGATGCTTATCGATGAAGAAGAATGGGAAGCATTTTTGAATTGTAAGTTTCAACTGATAATTTCCTGTTAGGATCCCGAAACTATTCATCATTTGTTTTCATATAGCTAGCTAGAAATACACAGTAATGTAATGTCGCTTTAGAGGCTCACGATCAGACTCCAGTTTGGACAAATGATCGAGTGTGCAATGAAGTAAAATCTTGCTGTCTATTTCCGTCAATCATACTTGGGCAAATCCCATTCGTGTGACGGTGGTAGCCAAGCATGGTTTTGCGGATGAATTTATTTTAACAATACATATAAGCCAACAATAGTGTTGTTTTCGATTAGATCGTCATCAGGCTGCTTTACTCTCTAATATACATGAATATTTATATATGAAAATGTTAAACCAATCACTCAAGGCAATTCGAGTGATAATCACAATGAAATGAACAAAGACAAAAGTACAAGTGGGGATAGTAGGAAGATAGGTGTACTGATAGTAGTAAGAAAATTATAAAATATGTTAACTAAAGTTTTATCATGTATATTTTTTTATTCATGTATATTAGAGGAAAGCGGCCTGATGACGATCTAATCGAAAACAATAATATTGTTCGCTTATATGTGTTGTTCTAATTTTCACAATGGGAATTTATTCGATGCATTGATCTATGCAGACAGACATGAGAATGGAAAGCGTACAAGCAAAGCGAAGCGAATCGGAGAAGGCGAGTGAGCCAACTCTCCATCTACTGAAGAATGACTAAGTATTTATAGTCAAGCAATAATAGGCTAGACATGTGATAAGCGAGTAAGCATCCACACACACACAATCAAGTATACAATAATCGATATTGTAACCGAATTATTACAAATACAAAAATATGGTCGATACTATTATCGAATAACTATTCGAACGAAAAATCATTGAAGTATAAAGAAATGAATGGTGAGAGATGCTATATTCCAATGAGTAAAACTAAATTTGAATTTCGGACATTTTGTTGTGGTTCAATGTATGTTGTCACTGCTTCAGAGTAACTAAATATTTGAATCAAGTTAACATGCATTTAAATTATATCAAGAAAAAAAATCGAATATTTAGTTTAGTTATTGATTCACTCTATACGAATGGCCTACGCAAAGTCACATAAATGTCCAAAATTCAAATTTCCACCTATTAGGATCTCACAAATAGATTATTATTATTATTATTATTATTTACTATTTTCCTAATACTCAATTTATTTGAAATTATCAAGTTAAACCTTGCTGCTAATACTTACTCGTAATATCAGTTTTTGGTGGAGAGATATAAATAAATTCATGAAATAAAAGTATAAAGTAAGTTCAAAACATCAAATCTAAAGGAAGACAACGAATGAATGCATTTGGGTGATTGTAATGGATTCTAGTTCATGTGGTCCAATGTTTTCAACCATCGGTTACAATAATCGGATACTACCCCTAACTCAGGTCTTATATGGTCGAAAAATGAAAATTTCGGAAACGCGAAAAAATCATTGCCCGACATGAGACAAAGTGTAATAGAAATGTTTGGGCCTATTTGCATCAAGCTGGGCTGCCTCCTATTCTACAATCCTACGCCATATATGTGTACACCATATGCTATACTATACTGCTATATAGAGCTGAAGGTATCCTATGAGACTAGAGGTTCGCTGTGAATATTGTGGATGGCTTGGCTTTGCTTTGGTAAGCATTGTTAACAGTCCATATACAAAACTGGTTACCGGGGTGACCGATTTCATTGATATAGGTGGTTGTTTTGTGACATTCCCGAGGGCCATTGTCATTGGGGTGCTGTATTACATATCACCATTGATAATAATAATGAGTTTGACAGTCATGTAAGCGGGATGGGTAGAAATGGCCTGTTCATGCGATGAATATTGATTGATGCGATCATTGATCGGAAATATATATACCATTGTGTGTATATGAAATGGTGTGAATGGTCCACCAGGGTATCAGGTACCTGTGTGGTTGCACCACAGGATTGAGCCGAACTGTTCATGTAGTAATGGTAAAACGTGTCCAGTCTCTTTGGTTCTCCTGAAAACCAATGTAAAATTGCCCTTGACAATACAGGGTAAATTTATATAAAAATTGAAAAAATTCCCCACCAAGTAGTCTGTATCTACCACCATAACTTAATCTAACAATCAATGAATTCATAAATCGATATCACGTCTTAACTTGATAGCCCTTAGCCTTCTTCTAACCTACTCATACATCATCAAACATCGCTTGTTGAGGTCGATTATGGTTGATCGAACCAAAGTTGGAGGAGCGGGTTTTGGAATCTGGAACTCATCTGTCAACAGTGAAATGTTCTACAGATGTTGTCGACATTCTCATCAATCCCATATCTCTCCATCTTGAAGTCTCTGTTCCAGTCATGTACTGGTACAAGTCATGGTACATAGAATATACCGGGACGTTTGATACCTAATCATTCAATAGATTTTCAAATTGTAACTATTTATCAATTTATTTAAATCTACAGTGATAGGCATTATGTTAGACAGTCGTCAGATGTTAATATTGACAAACACACTTTCTATATGCTAGCCCAACATACATACCATTTGAGTGAGTAAACAATGAATAAATAGGAAATTTTATTGAATAGCTGTATCAAAATTTACGCACAAAATCATTCACTCGATTGTTCCCTCTCTCACAGACAGTCATGCCAAACCTCGACTAGTAAGTAGTATACATCAATCTCATCTATCTTTTGGCCTTTAACTGATTGATAACTGATTAACTGAGCTTGTCACATATAGTTTTGCATTACGGGGTTGTGAAGATTGTTAAGTTACACACTTTTAAAACCATGAATCGATCAATGTTAGACCACCATTAGAAACCTGGAAGCACTGGACGGCCGTTTCGTCCTGGTATGGGACTGCTCAGCAGTGCGCATCCACGACTCCTGCACCTTGCAGGATTCGAACCCAGGACCTTCACTGTTGTGCGCGAACGCCCTAACCGTTAGACTACTGAGCCGGTATCTGGAGGTGTTAATGTCTAACTTGATCAATTCACGGAGTTGCGCAACCTCATACACAGTCTTCGGTTGACACTACCTACACCCGAACAGGTTGAACTTCATTGGTCACGTCTTCCCACTAGAACTCGGAGAAGATTCCTCACGCGTACAATACCGAATTTCCTGGGTTCGAATCCTGCGGGGTGCAGGAGTCGTGGATGCCCACTGCTGAGGAGTCCCATACCAGGACGAAACGGCCGTCCAGTGCTTCCAGGTTTCTAATGGTGGTCTAACATTGATCGATTCATGGTTTCAAAAAACATATAGTTTTGTTCATTGAAGTCCTTACTAATCTTCTAATATGTTTTACCCTTGATTTATTTTTGTTTGTTTCAGTGCTTAAAAATCCTTTAACACTTTATTTACTCATCTTTAATATTGTTCAATTCGCTGGTTATCTTTATATTTGTGGAGCTCTAGTCTATGGATTGATGCAACATAAAGAAGTGTCTAATATACCATTTTATGAATGGACTATTGATCGATTAGTTTTAGTGCAAATGTTGTCATTGTTAGAACCTTTACATTGTTTATTAGGTTGGATTCGTAGTGGAAGTGTTTTGCCTTCATTTTTTCAAGTAAGTATGACTGTTTGAAGGGTGGATAAGTTCTTTTTCTTGTGGTTTTTTTCTCACCCTTTCATTGTGATTTCGTCAGTCAAAATGACTAAATTCTTGCTATCTTTCAACTTGATTCAGAACAGTTTGAAAATATCTATTAATGTAAGGCATTTGAGAAGAGTTTTGAATTTTATAATTTACATCAGAGAGGACTGGACAGCTGGCTCGTGCTAGCATGCCATCGAAAGCCTCTTATTATGTGTTCACTGGTAAATAAATTCAAGCGGGGACTCCTGGAGTTCTAGTAACCAGTGAAGTAGTCTTCAGCCATGTTGAGTGTAAAGACGGTTACCCATCAAGGCCATCGGTTTATGGTCACCCGATAACACGACTTAATTGAAGTTAGGAATGTTAACCATTAAATACCGACTCAATGATCTGAGAGATTAACACTGACCTCGTTACGTGAAAGCTCTGGATTCTTCTAATTCTTTGTGTGATTGTGCATACGCACTGTTGAGTTTGATACTGGGATGAAACACCTTTCCAATTTTTCTTGATTTTCAATAATTGCTTGTCTCAACGCAATTCGTAATACTTTGCATGAAACTCGAAAACATCTATCATTGGGTTTGTATATAAATCGTGGTTAACATTTTCTTAAGATTGTAACGCTGATGTAATAAGATAGCAGCCAAGGCGCACGACTATTGTTCAGTTCAGTTGACTTCTTGAATAGCCAAACCATCTCTTATACTGACAGTTATCATGTGCGTTCAAGTTGATAAGACAATAACAAAAGTTCATCCTAAAAACATGAAAACGACGGATTCAAAATGGCCTTTCATACAAAATACGTTTCAACCAATAAGAAAATAGCTAGTTTGTCGACTATTAATCCAACCAATCGGATACAAGAAAATGGGGGATAAACTCGGATTACACGATTTTCACATTTGATTTGAAATTCTGCGTCAACAGAAGGATCTTACTTTGAAAAAAAAATCGGAATCTGTTTTAGTTATGTTCATATTAAAACTATCTTCGAAATTCTTCTCTTTTGTTACAGTTGAATATGTTAATTCAAACTTTAACAGACCCTTTCAAGGGCTCGTAATTAAGTGTAATGATCAGTTTTCTGCGATAAAACCTGTCACAGTATCCAGTTCTTTGTATATTAACGAAATCTTTACATGTTTTTTAAATTTCAGTACCAAAATGTTGTTTTTATTAAAAAAAGGAAACGTTTTTGCATTTTATCTACAGGTGTTCGCTCGTTCTCTAGTTTTGTTTTTCATTATATTACCACATGAACAATTCCATTCGGAGTCTACAACTTATTGGCTTTTCTTTGCATGGAGTCTTATTGAAATTGTTAGGTAAGTGATCTGCATGCACCCACTGTAAACTGAACATCTCATCATCATTCATTGTTTTAATTATCTGGGGAATTAGGGTTATATGAGAAGAGCTTTTAGTGTTGTCACATTCAGGCCGACCTTATGTGTAAGTACTTTTATATAGTAAAGCATTGTCCATCTTTTATTGACTGGTACAGTATTCATCGAGAGTCGACATCAATTCAAGTACCATTGTAAACTAGGGAGAATAGAACAGCTGCTCTACACCCACTTCAACTATTTGAAACCATAAAAAATGTGACTATCCGCCAACTCCACCGATAGGTGTACACTTTGTTGTGGAATATAAGGTTCCAGAAGAAGATGGCAAAGCGTGCTTAGTCCCATGGATAATAGTGATTATACTTTGACATTAATCTATAGTCTTAATTGTGTTTCTTTTAAACTGGCTCTTACTGTTTTGATCATCGGTCGAAATGGAGCCTATATCAATTCAGTCATTCTATAGGTTGAGTAATAATAGTATTAGGATATTCATCCAATATCCTAAGAGAATTATTGGTCAATTCCTATTGGTTAGTTCCCATTGGTCAATTTTATGGTCGTCCTAGATATCAATGTCACGTGCTCCAATGTTGTTTCTTATTGGTTGTACTGACTATCAATGTCACTTCAAATGTTGCTTCCTATTGGTCATCTTAACTGTCAATGTCACAGACGTCGATGCTGTTTCCTATTCGACCAAAATGTATAAATACGTATTGTGTGTAACGTTTTATGATCAGGACCAGGACCCGGTCCAGGATCCGTGGTCCGGGATCCTGATTATTTTCTGGACTCGGACCTCATACTTTCTGGATGCTTTTAGAATATAGGTTCTACTCCACATTCAAGTCTTCTTATTTTCACTCAATATGGGGGTTGGGATAATCGGATTTGAGTAGCATGTCATGTCACCGGATCCTCGATCCTCACTCTCGTTTTCCGACTAGGTAAACTCGTAATAGTTCAAGCATATCAAAATGACGTGTTTAAGTGCAGGCGTAACAAATAGTAATATAATAATTAGAGTAATAACACTGTTCACCATTAATATGTTTAGTACAAAATGCAGTTCCTAGTGTATAATATTTCAGTAAGTTTCTGTTATATCACGAAGAAAACAGCAATAGATAAGTGCATACATACGTATGTGAAATAAGTAATTAAATTATCTAGAATTCATTGAAATATTTTTCAAGAAAATGCGAATCTATACAACTCTGAAATGGACAAGATGGTGATGAGTGTATATTTGTGATTAGGTCAGTTAGTACATTCTGTCTGTCGTATGGTAGATTATTTAGATACAGCAGTGTAGACATTTTGTGCCTCTGTTTATTTGTGTGCATGGATTTTGGTGTATCAGCATCTCGTTCAACAGAACGAAACACAAAGAGAAACACATAAATGAAGCGGATAGTTTATATTTGATATAAGGCAACACCTGCGAGGAGTTTACAACCTTAAATGATTCACTGCACACACCTTACTAATTGCCTTCAGCACTCGCTTCAGCACACAACAAAATCTTTCTCCGAAACCCCATGAAAGAACAATTGAGAACAGTAAAGGCTAGTAGGCAAAAAACACTAAATTACACATCGTAAATGTGGCAAAATGTAAGATTTCTGTAGCTGCGAATTCGATATTCATAAATGCAATTTCTTTTAATCTATCGGTGATACAGTACTATCAAAAACTTGTAGCTTATTTTTATTAATAGGTCAGACGAAAAAGCTTTCTTCAATATTGCCAGAACATAAAAAGATTGATAAAGATCCGAGGAATAATTTACACCAGGAAAAATGACGTTTGATTTAGTTTTGATTATAGAATCTCCCCAGTAGTATAAACCTTCGTGTAATTCCAATAGGCTGTTTTTCATATCACAAAAATATGAGTAATAACTTGAAATTTAGAAAAATTTAATGTGAGATTGATAGAAATAGAGTAGTAGTAGTAGTAGTATTGACTCTTCTATGCGTATATACGTTTCAATCTGATGTTTGAACATACATTTGATTTGAAGCCATGAATCGACCAATGTTAGACCACCATTAGGAATCTGGAAGCATTGGACGGCCATTTCGTCCTGATATAGGACTCATTAGCAATGTGCATCCAGGACTCCTGCACCTCGTAGGATCCGAACCCAGGACCTTCTGTCTTGCGCGCGAACGCTTAACCTCTAGGCTACTGAACCCGTATCTAACGGTGTTAATGTCTAACTTCAGTCGATTCAAGGATTTGCGCAACCTCCTACACTGTCTTTGGCAGTTTCAAATGTGTAATTTACCAGTCTTCACAACCCCATAATGCAATATATTTGATTATTGAACCGCATTACATTTATCGGTTCATTAATATTAAAGTATATGAATTAAATAAAAGGAAATATATAATGTTGGATAATTTTGTTTTCAATGAGAGATGATGGTTAAAACATTCGATTTTCAACCAAGTATGTCTTACATTCGAGCCATATTCTATCTAATTCTCCTTCAACAACTGGATGGTCGTATATCATTCATTGCCTGTATCCTACTTACATACTAAGTGGTAACTGTAAACTTGCTTACTTACTTACTGAGCCTTCACTTTCTAGTTCTATCCAATGGTTGTGCTTTCTTATCATGTTTGTCTCCATTCCTTAACGTAGTGTGTCTTTTGGTCTTTTTCTTTGACCCTGAGGGTTCGAAGCGTGGGCTTGTCTTGTGACACAGTTGGGTGCTTTCCTCAATGTATGTTCTGTCCATTTGAAATGGTTTGAATTATTTTTTCTGGTTAGCATTTTAATTAGCGAGTTAGTTTTCTACGGGGTGAGGTCGCTGACCTCACGCCCAACTTTCCTCCTTTATCCGGGTTCGCGATCGGCAGTCGTCCCAAAGGTGCTCCAGGCGGAGTTGAATAAATCTGTTTGTAATAGTAAATAAGTTTAATCTCTAAAAATGTAGCTAGAAAAATATATATTTAACACCTTGCTGGTCGAAAACCAGCAAACTCGAGAAAACCAATCTGGTTTTCGATCTGGACGTGGTTGTATAGACCACATTTTCACACTACGACAGGTCCTGAAACACAGACACACATTTAGGCGTCCTACAATAGTTGTTTTCCTGGATCTTAAGGCGGCATTTGACTCAGTGGATCGTGAGGTTCTGTGGCAGTGTCTGTCATTAAAAGGTGTACCAAATAAGTACATCAACCTCATACAAGCTCTCTACTCAAACACCACTGGTCGGGTGAGAGCTTATGGCGAACTGTCACCGGAATTCTCTAGTTCAAGTGGTGTCCGTCAGGGATGTCCACTCTCTCCATTCTTGTTTAATTTTATCATAGACATGCTCCTAGAAATAACCTTATCGTCGTCTGAATTTTCAGGAGTAGACCTTTTACCAGGTGGCTCGCTTATTGACTTAGAATATGCCGATGGCATAGTCCTACTTGGTGAAGACGCTGACAAAATGCAGAGTCTTCTGAATACCCTAAGCAACAATGCAAGCATGTTCGGCATGCGGTTTTCCCCCTCGAAATGCAAAGTGTTGCTTCAAGACTGGGTTTCATCGGCACCTGAACTAGTGATAGGGAGTGAAGTGGTCGAACGTGTAGACCGCTTCACTTATCTTGGGAGTCTCATCAGTGCTGATGGCCTGTTGACTGACGAAATCTCGGCACGGATACAGAAGGCTCGATTGGCTTTTGCCAACCTGCGTCACTTATGGCGTAGGCGAGGTATCCGTTTGCTGACTAAAGGACGAGTGTACTGCGCAGTGGTTCGCTCCGTCTTACTTTATGGCTGTGAAACATGGCCAATGAGAGTAGAAGATACTCGTCGGTTATTGGTTTTCGATCATAGGTGTCTTCGAAGCATTGCTCGTATATCGTGGGACTCCCGAGTGAGCAATGCTGTTATTAGGACACGGGTGCTAGGTAAGAATGGCAGATCAATCGATGAAGTGGTGAAACTTCATCAGTTGAGGTGGTTGGGACATGTGTTGCGTATGCCCAACTATCGACTGCCTCGTCGAGCTTTGTTTTGCAGTGTAGGAATAGGTTGGAAGAAAGTTAGGGGTGGCCAAACCAAAACATGTCAGAAATCCATGAAGTCATTGACGAGTGGACTTAGCCATGTCGGTAATTGTCGACTACCTGATTGGGGTCCGTGAGATGATAATAATCGATGGTTAGAGACCTTGAATGACATGACTGAAAATCGTTCGCAATGGCGCAGGCGCATTTATTCTTTGTGTTCTCTCAAATCCTAATCTTCTGGATTCTTCAACAACACTAGTTTTGACTTTCTAAACTTTTCTCACTGAATCATATTTCTTGAATAATATCTTCTAATCCTAATCTCTCCGATTACTTCTAATACCTTAACTATTACCTCTACTACTATTGGATTTGAATTGAGAATTACATCTCTGTGCTGATGTGTTATGGCAACATGAACTGATGTACATACGTATGAAGTTCTACGTTGCAACTGACTGACTGACCTTGTTTTATATTATGGTTATGATGTTTCAAGTCGTTAATGTTTTCTATTGTCGGTGTAGTTTAGCTTTTGTTTACACCTACACATACATTTTGTTTTTGTCTTGATAACTTTCATGTGTTTTTGTCTTCCCGATTTTACATTCTCTTCAGATATCCATATTACATTTTGTCTTTATTATGTTTTCAATATGGATTCATTACTTATTTACGTCATACCCTATGGATAATATTATATCCTATTGGATTTATATGTGAAGGTAAGCATAAGTTGTTGTTGAGAATGCATATAACGTTTGTTGGGTTGTTTTTCTTCTGAATTCTTAGTGAATTTTAGTAGTTGCAGTAGTGTATATGAGATAGATATTTGATATTTTGTGTATGTGGTTTGTAAAGGTTTGTTTTACTTGTTTCGTAGATGATACTTTTTATTATATCTGCGTAAATAACATATTACTGAGACTAAAGACTGACTTAAGTTAGACAGATGTTGAAAACCTGGGAGCACTAGACGGTCTTTTCGTCTTGAGCTGTCAGCATCCAAGATCCCTCCCTCTCGAATCTGTACTGACGAGGTATGGCAACTTGAACTGATGTACGCATGAACCAAGTTGTAAATCATAACTGACTGAATAATCTTGAATCGAATCCAAGACCAGCAGTTTCACTCGAGAGCGCTTAAACCCGAGACCACTGATGTGGAATCCGGGGGTGCTCAGTTCAAATGTTCTCATTAATGATTAGTTCTAAGAAGAAATTTATGTAGTTACAGTGAGTGGAATTCAACTGTATCGAGTATGGCGGACGATTCCTATGGACAGCAATCGAAGGTGGTTGTGCAATATCATAAGTTAGTTCAAGGTAAATTTGTACACTACTGGATTTTGGCTCAGTTGCCTTTTAGGTTAAGCATTCGCATGGGAGACCGGAGGTCTTAGGTTTGACCACCGATGGCAGGGTCTTGGATGCGCCCTGTTGCGTTGTCTAATGCTAGCAGGAAGCAACTGTTCAGTGCTCTCAGGTTTTCAATGGTTGCTTGATTTAATCTGTTTTTGATCCCCATAAAAATCTTGTCATTGTTTCTATAAATTTCTATCCCCCTTGCCCAGATTTACGTTGTTGCAGGTGGTGTTAGTATACATTATTGTTAGTCAGTCAATTACAACGTAGAACTTCGTATGTACATGCATCAGTTCAAATTGCCATACCACATTAGCACAGAGGCGCAATTATCAATTCAAGTCCCATAGTAGTAGAGGTAGTAAGAGTATTAGCAGTAATCAGAGAGGTTAGGGTTCAGGGATATTATTCAAGAAGTAGAATCTAGGGAAATAAACTTTAAAAACAGAAAGATAAAGGCGATGAAGAATCCAGAGGATTAGGATTCGAGAAAACACAAAGTATGGATGCACCTGCGCCATTGTAAACGATTTCGAGCCATGTCGTCCGAGGTCTCTAACCGTCCAATAATTACTATCGTCTCGTGGACCCCAACCAAGTAAGTCTACACTTACAACATGACTCAATCCACTTGTCAGTGATTTTATGGATTTGTGACGTGTTTTGGTTTGGCCGCCCCTACTTTTCTTCCAACCTACTCCTACACCACAAAACATAGCTCATCGAGCCAGTCGGTGGTTGGGCATACGCAACACATGTCCCAACCACCTCAACTGATGAAGTTACACTAATCCATCTATTGATCTACCATACCTACCTAGTACCTGTCTCCTAACATTATTGTGCATCATAACCTTTATATATTGTTATAGTCTTCTTATCTATTCGTTTAGTTATTGCTATAGAATAAAATACAATTAGCTTATACAATAGCAGTAGTGCATTTATATTCTCAACTAATTTATTTTAATAAAGTGCGTAGATTGAATAAAATCATTGATCAATACTATTGTTGTTGTTTTCACTTTTAATTAATTTGGTGGATCGTATTTTCAGAAGTAGTTGATAATAAAATAATGAACTTTATGTTTGTGGTAAGGATTTTAATATTATTCGTTTGTTGATACATAAGATAGAATTTTAATCAATCTTTGTTGATGACGTATATATATCTGGGTCCTCTGCCAATTATTGACTATATATATTATCCATTTTGTTACAAGTTATTTCGAATAGATAGGTGGTGGTAAATAACTGTAAAATCGTCTTATTTAGGAACTCGTCCATTGGCAGAGTGGACGTATCAAAATCTACACTGAATTACCATCTATAATACCGGCAAAGATTGATTAAAACTCCAATTTTGAATGTCGGTCAATCATTAGATAATATTCCAACCCTCACCAATATTGATTTGAACATCATATCTGTTAAAAAAAATTAGTTAGCAGTTTTCGATACTGGAGAACCTTTCGGGACTGCAGTCTCCACCTTCAGCTCATTCTTTGTTATCGTGTCGACCTTTACAGGCGCCACTTGCTGCTGTTGCACATGAGGCTTATCTTTTTTAGTCTTTTCAGCTCGTTTACTTTGCAACTTGGATAGCAAAATATCCGGGTCCTCACTGTTCAGATTGTCATCCAGAAACGGTGAGAACCTGCTCTTCACTTCCACAGAGTACTGATAGGCGTGGTCAACACCAGCCATGTCTACAGAATAGACTGCACACGGACCGTCAACATGGTCACTGAATTACCATGTATACCGGCAAAGATTGATTAAAACTCCAATCTTGAATGTCTGTCAACCATTGGATAATATTCGAACCCTCATACCAATATTGATTTGAGCATCATGTCTGTTAGAAAAAAATTAGTTGCTCTTTAGACTAAGTAAACCACTAGTGAACGTGTTTAGATGTGAAACAAAGGGTACCAGGTTGGAGTTTCATTGTAAACGTTGACGTTGAACGTGTAGCTACGCTCAGCTGTCGAGTTCTAAACAGGACAAAACTCCACTTCCTAGATTTTATTATAATTCCGTTCTAAATTATTAACTGACTTGTAATCATATGCGTCAATATTTAAACTATGATTGAATAACCTGTAATTCAACAGGGGCGTGTTTTTTCTTAATTTCCTTATTATTAGGAAAATTACTAATTCGATCATTGCCTTTGTTAATGGAATCTCGTAAATTCTGCTTAGAATTACCGAATTCAGCTAATGTTAGCTTTGATTTTCCAACTTTTCTGCAAATATATTTGCTATGTTCGTCGTTTGGTAAGTGACTTTTTTTTCAAACCTGTATTTATTTGTTTCAAGATGCTGCCAATGTACATTATTTATTGTAATAATAATTAATCAAAGGAATCAGACAATGTTGATCAGTAGGATGAAATCTTACTAGACCTAGGTTTTGTACTAGTGCATCGTACGAAGAAGTTAGTTTAGATGTTTGGAGAAGATACAGTTTATTAACAAAATATGTGCACCTAATCTTCAAATATCCATTTGAAGTCTCTTGACTTTCAAAGTACTATGATCGCGCCATGCCCTTCGGTCTGATACTCTTCTCACCGCTAGTAACCTCTGGGCCTCCAAATGCTCTGGTACGGTCCGCTCTGCTTCTCAAAATGATTATATATGTCTAAATGTGTATAGCCACTGCTAGCGATGTTCTACTCACTGCCTTCTCGTGGTGGGTGTGTTGTTTACAAATTTGAGAAGACGAAGAGCGAATGTCCGTCATCTTAGCTGGGTCGGGAGTTGGAACGTTCGAATTCCGAACCACTAGTACACGTAGGCTCCAGGAACATAATGCAATAAATGGAACATGAATCTTTTGTTGGTCACCGCCTACCATAAGACCACATCTAACGTTGCTGTACTGCTTTTTGGAGTAGACTTTTGAGTCAAATGCTCGAGCAGTGGTCCCTGCTTCGGTTTTAACACCTGGACAGCGTCTCGTCTCATTTACAAATTTAATGATTAGTGTGGCGCATAACTATTTTGGTTCCTCTTTGAACCAATGTTATTATGCTTAAATAAAACCAAATGTGGGTAACATATTACTGCATACTACTGAAAAAGCCACATTGTGAGTAGTATCCACCATATCATTATATTCGTAATCAAGATATCTGCAGTTTTTAGGAAGGAGTTACTCCCTGCAGGGTTCACACGTCAAAAGTTACAGTTCCATTGTGTAGCATACGACAAAATTAGTTTATCAAATTATTCTTTCTCTCGGAATTCTAGAGCGCCACATTTATAGCACATTGGTTTGAGATCAAAGATTTCCAACTCTCCTAGGTAGACGCTTTGTATACATCAATCCGGTTTAGACACCGCATGTTCGCTCGTCGTACTGTCATTTTCGTGAAGTGCCCCCCTCTTCCAAAGTCACACTGTGGTGCGCGCTACTTATAAGTAGTATATGACGTGAGTGTAAACGTAATGTCTGGCAGCAGAAGATGGGGGAAGATCAAGAAAGAAAGAATGGGAACACAATCGAATTTGTATGAAACGCATGAATAGTGAAATGTCAGACAATGGATTGATGATTGATTGAAGATTTGCAAATTAAGGGTTACGATATGGTTTTCCTATTTTACTGAGTAACTCTGTAATTTTCGTTAAATACAATTCGGGTGCCGTCACCTGTGTTCTCCTTCACTACAACACTATCAGTCATATTATCCTTCGCCCGCCTGATTTGCTCCCTCACTCCAACGCAGCAAGTACACAAATTTCTAACTGAATAAGATTCCTTTTTATAATTATCCAGTATTTTATTGATTTTCTACTTCTGTGTCTCAGGTTTATACTATAACATGAGACATCTGTATGTAAAACGGCGTAAAATCATTGGTCCTCGACCAATTAAAGGAGCTGATCAAATGGGATATTTCTCTTTTCTACCATATTTGTATTCGCTAGTTCGTGGATCAAAGATGAAAAGCCCGTCTGTTGGCACTACTACTGCTACCGCCACTAGAAAGAAATATATAAACAGTCCTAATAATAGTGTGCCAAAACTACACTAATTCATTGCTTAGCATAATATGTGTGTGTGTGTGTGTGTGTGAGTAACTGTATAAATGAATCATTTATATTTCCAATATGTAAACCCTTTTTATACGCGTCATTTCTTCTGTACTGATATTCTACATTATTTTATTGTCTTTCTATACTACTTTGATATTTATATATATATTTCTGTAAACGAAACTCTATGAAATAAATCAATATATATATATTTGTTTATTTATTATAACGCATTGTTTCTTGAATGATTTAGTATATTGTACTAG